ACGCTGGTATAACGTTGCCGATAACGCAAGGTTGTAATTTTCTGATGTTTCCAGAAGTCGCTTCAAGTCGTTCGCTGTATCGCCCTGTCGAGTTTAAATCGATAGCGGATTGGTGCGAAAGACACAGGTTCGTAGCGTTTGAACGTCAACTATCGCAGTATCTGATAAAATGTGGTAGTATCCATTGGGAAGTCGTAACGTCGCGTTTACGGCAGTTTCAAAATCGTTGCAAGGTACAACAGATAAAAGCACAGTACGTGCCCATCTTTGTCATACAACTTTCGTCTCGTACATTTTTTCGTATCGTTCGTATTTACCCGCATATGCGAACCTTTTCATTTAAACAGCACATGCTGCACATCTACCGAATAAAACGCAGCAAACGGTAAACGATGAATTCTTGTCGAGAAAGTCTTTGTAAACGTGCCTCCCTCGGCTAGACAATTTGTTTATTCATCGTGAACTGTTTCGTGGTTTCTTGTAACGACGGCAATCAGGCCGGATGAGCTTGGTTAATTACTACGTTATGCAAAACCTTGTGGCAATTTAATAGCATTGTTGACAATATTGCGTTGCTGTAGATTGATAATAAAACGTGTACGTTTCTATAAATAGCGTGCTATCGAATAACATATAATTAAATTGATCAACAGGAGGAGAAAATTCTCGTAGCTATCGTTTCAGAAATTATTTGAATATCGTTTGACGTGGCGCATATATGTAGAGAAATATTTCCTTTTCTTAAATTGACGTTTATTTCCAACATTTTCTACATTTTTACGACAATGTTTCGCGCGCTCTATAAAATATTTCCATTTTGTTACTTGCCTGAACGTATATTTTGATCAAAGCGACGAAAACAGTTAGAAGCATATTTATTCTCAGGATTTGATGAAAATTAAGAGAAATTAAGGAAATTTTCCCGGGTATCTCGGTGTACGTTCGATGGATCGCGTACTTTGAATTCAATTTCGAAGATAAAATATGTAGGCCGTGAATCGAACAGTTTGAATTATTTAGTATTTGGTATAGGTTAGTACTTACGTAAGTACTTAAGTTTCATATACTTGGAATAGACATCGTCGGATGTTCGAATATAGCAACGAATATTCGATGTAAGTCGAAGAGATCGCGAGTATCGTCCGGGTGTAGAAGAAAAGCTTCGTAGAATTGCTGCGACACGCGAGTAGAACGTTTTGTTTTTCGACTTGGAGAAAATTGAAACGTAGTTGAAGTCCAACGCAGTAGGGAAAACAGCGTTTAATTTGAATTCAAAGCCGTTTGACCGACGCTACATCTTAGCATAAATGGCGTAAAACAACAAATTATAAAATTACAAATACGCTTGCCGTTTATTCAAAGTAGCAGAGAGAAAAAAAAGACAGATTTAATAAAAACGAAAAGCAAGCATCACCGATACAAGTTGGTAATTTGTACGAGAAATTGTTTGCGTTTCTCCTTTTTCTATGTTCTTTCGAAATTGTCTCCGACCGTCGATGGCTAGCAGATATTTTTATTAAACTTTTATTCTTAATTTTTAATTCGTTTATTATATAATATAAACGAATGTTCATTTGAAAAATTTCCGAGATTTTTCCGAGTCAAGTGTACATTAGGAAAAGTTATTTTCCACGCGTTAACGAGTCACAGGTTGCCTTCAAATGTTAGGAACGTGAGCGTGCAACGTGGCTGTAGCTGAATTCCTTCCGGAAAATCAATATTGACCAATGGACGATGGGAAAACAGCGATTGGACACGTTCGAGCGGCCACTATACGCTGTGCGATTTATTTTCCAACTACGTTTGCATAATATCCAGGTTTTCGAAACCGATTTCGATCGATCAACGATCGGTGGTCGTCGCTAATTCGCTTTTGGTCAAACGCGTTTGAACGCTAAATTTCCGGATGCTACTGAGTGGATTTTTAAATCGAATCCGTTTTTTAAACGAAATTCGTAAACAATGTTTCTGCAAGATCGTTTTAAATATTCAAATAATTGCATCTACGACGTGCTCATTGCTTTTGAATTTTTTAACGCTTTTAAACGTTATTATCGTTGTTAGATTTTCTTCCAGAGATTTTCACGTGACTTCTGGGAAAGAGATGAAACGGAAATTCCTTAGAAATATTTCCTTAACAAAGAATATTTATTTTTTAAACGCGTTAGATATTCAAATAACTTCGTCTAACACGTTATTATTAGATCTTTAAATAATTGAAAAAAAAGCGTAAATTTTGCCAATGAAATTTCTTACAAATATATTTCCTTAACAAGATATTGATCGCCAAACTAACTTCATTTATAATATCGTTATTTTCGGGTTTACAACGATTCCACCTAACTCTGATCATGTTACAAATTGTCATTGAAATCGTCAACCTAACCGAAAACCGAACTGTCATGAGTGAAGAGAACAATACCTTGGAAATGGACAAGTTCGTTACGACGAAACCACAGCTGTCAATTTCGCAGGATTGCGAATGATGTTTTCAATTCGACCTTGAGAACAACTATTCGCTCATCGTGATGGCGGTTTTACGGTCCAGAGAGTTACAGTCGAAGAATCCGTGGAATTGAGGCCGATTGACGCGTTCATTAAAATAACGACCAGCCAGTTTCTGCGTCAAGACAAGTGTCATTTGTGAATAGAGGTAGACGCGTGTGTGTATCGTACGTGGTAATCACTGTGGCGGGAATTAATGTCCGCCAGTACAGTCGTTTCCGTTCTCCGTGAACGACCAGAACAGCTGGTCAACGATCAGCATTGCGCGTTCTCGCGAAATCAATGTCGTTGCGCGACTTTTCAAAGATTTTACGCCACTTTTATAGCCACTTGTAATTTATTGCCACTTGTTTGCTTCTTGTTTCTCGTAACACGTATTCCCGTTCTCTTGAAGTCTTTACGCGACGTTTATTTCACTTGAAAAATATCTTGCGATTATTTTATTAATTCAGCGTAAGGTGTTCTCGCGTTATTTCAATTTAGCGTGAAACATTTTCACCAATTATTTTCATTAATAACGGTGTGATCTGCTCTCGGATTACTTCGATTCAACGTAAGGTGTTTGCGATTTATCTCCATTCAACGTAATGTGTCACGGGATTGATTTTGCCCGAGAGTAAATTATTTTCGGACTGGTTTGTCTTAGAGCGGATTATTTCGGGATTGTGAATTATTCTCAGACTATTTTTATCCCTGGTGAAGTATTTTGAGGTTATTCCGATTCAGTGTGATTTATTTTCGGACTAACTTGGATCCAGCGTCAAGTATTTCTCAATTATTTCCATTTAGCGTTAAGCATTTTGGAATTTTCATTACCCCGAACTATTCCGGTATTGATTTATACCACAATTAATTATTCGCAGATTATTCGAATTTAGCGTGAAGAGTTTTGAGATTATGTTGATTTAGCCCGAAGTATATCGCGATTAATTTCATTTCCTGTAAATTAACTTAATCTTGTACCGGTTTATTTTCCTGTGAAATTCGTTTCTTCTAAAATTTGCGAAATCTTCTACGCTGAAGTACGTCGTTTCATTTCGCAAGTTTTGCGGCTAGTTTCATCAGCAATCGAACGACGACCTGCTCCATCCGGGCCGTAAATATCTCAAATATCATTCTTTGCCGCGATTGTTCTCAACGTACACGAGAGAGCAATTTAAACTTTGAATTAGAAATGCAAAAATCAAAAATACTATACGTTGTTATTTCTATACTCAGAGGTGAGATCAGAATAGTTATTATTTTATCGAATGGATAAATCTATCACACCGTTCTGAGTCAAAAAAGCCCTTTATCGCACGCGCTTACAAAAATTAAGGATAAAAACAAAAAGGCATCTTAAGCTTATCGATTAAATCTATCGATTGTAACTAGGATCATCCTCTAGTTACTATTTCTTATAACTAACGCATCTGCATATAGATGGCGAGCACGAACTTACCTTGTTATTTTCAAACAATATATTTAATAAAAAAAAAAAAATGTTTTTAAGGACTAAAACCAGCTTGCAAGGACGAATGAAATTAATTAGGCTAATGTATCATTCGTACATAATTGTTGGCTCGTGTTTCGATCACGAAATAACCATTAACCGTTCTTTGGAATAAATTGTTCGATTGTTATTGCCAGTTCGACAAATGCGTCCTACAAAATTAGAAAAATGAAACGAGATCTCATTTAAATATATTATATATCAAGAGGCTCGTTTGCCACACAAGTAAGTCATTTCCATTCGCGAGTGTTTCTCAAACGTTTCAATTTGTATCGTTTCTCGTGATTCTGTTTCTCGAGTGTCATTTCCGCTTGAGTCGACGCAGCAGAACTCACCGATTAACGTTCGCGGCCAGCCATAATTCGTAAATGGAGAGAATGAAATATTTATCGTAATGTAAATAAAATTTTATGTAAATAAAAAGATTCTAAGAGAGCGAAAGGAAGAAGAGAAAGTTGGGACGAGGAGACAAATGTAGCAAAATATGAGATGCGCGAGAAAAAGTTAGGAAAGTTAGAAAAAGGGGAATAAAGCGAGAAAGTAAAAGATGTGTCAGCGAAGACTATAACAAGCTACGTTAAATTGCTGGTTTAATTTCCAATTATAAAGTAATTGTTCTTTGGAATTAATTCTGACGTTATAATGTCTGTGGAATGAATAAATTACGGAAATTTATCGTACGAATTTCTTAGAATTTTTAGAAACGAGAATCAGATATCGATCAGAGTTAACCGTTGTACAACCGTTGAAGAATGAAAATCAATTCTGTGAAATATTCCAAATATAGTCGGCAGGATAGATCGTGTTGGATCGGTGATTTAATTCCAAATTATGGCGGCAATAATTATATTTTGGATTAAATTTCTTCGAATTTTTGGAAACGAAGAAGATCGATAAATCAATGACCGGAATTAACTGTTGCACAATAAGAAAAATGGAAATTAGTTTTGCGAAATATTGCAAACACAAAGTACGGAATGACTATTAAGAAATACTATATTCCGATTTATGAAGATTTATTCTTGCGATTTATTATTCTAATTTATGAGCAGATTGGACTCGAGTTGAAACAAAGTATAAATTATTTCGTGTTATCAAGTGTTTCTTCAAATATATCTATACATATCGAGTTACCGATTGTTGGATCAAACGTTTTTTCAAGAAATTCCATGTTTTTATACATCCTGCTCGTTCCTCGCAAGCTATCGAGTGATCATTTACGTTTATCTTGGCGTCCGCTCGTCACGTTTTCTCGTACGAAGCTCGTTTATTCATTTCCTTTACTTTTCCCATTTACAGAAAGCGACGAACAAACGTAGAAGGTTGATTTAGCGTCCGGCTTGAAATATTATCTTCCGTATTCTTGGCCTTCGATTATTTTCGGCAATAATCGATAGTCTGTCTATAATTTCCAATCTTTTTCTCGATTTATTCGCCAGCGGAAAGTCATCGACTCTGAACTGGATAGTTCGAGCTTGAAATATTTCAACCTTCATACCACGTTCTTCGAAACTTAAATTCACGTTTCGCAACGAACTTGCTGCAATAAATGTCTAGCGATTTAGATTTTAAAGAGAGCGAGAGAATTTTTGTTACGATTCGACAATTTTGTTAGAATATCCTAGGGACATTTAGAACGAAACGAAGGATCTGTATAAATCAATTAGAAAATAGATTACTCTTTTTCTTTTTAGCGTAGAAAATAATTATCGTCCTTCTTTACACTCTCAAAGTAATCTGTTTTCCATATCCAATGGATCTAGCCTTACAAACAGGTCAACGAACGAATAGACATTTTTTAACTTTAACCTTTAACGATCGATGATCGAACGTGAAAATAAATTCAACGTCATTTGCAACTGGCAAATTTTGATCTACTTTTTCCTTAGCGTCTTTGTGCCGGTTATCAGAGAATTTTTTAAATTTGATTATTTATTTATTTCCGTTCCGTTTAATATTCTACAGGGGACTTTAGGAGCACTGGGCGAGCCAACAGATTTGATTTCCGTGGCTTTAGTTCTGAAATCCAATTGTCCTCGTCTAAAATTGGTGTTTTTATACAGAAATGATGTTTCTCGGTAAGTCGAGGCTTTCCGAGGGATTCCCCCATTTCTGTCCCAAGAACATTTCTTCCTCGTCCATGTCGCAGTATTTTTACGTTTTTTTCGTCAGCTTCGTTCACTGTGCCGCTTTCACGATTTTCCCTAACTCTCTGAGAATCCTTCGTTACAATAATACGACACGACAGTGTACATATACTTAACTTTTACTTTATTCCGCTTTATTTTCTTTCTCTTCGACAACTTTCCTCCATATTTTACACGTCCTTGGGGGCGAAACAGTTACGTCAAGAATAATAACGCGATAAATGTTCATGTCCATGTTAAAAATGTTAACGAGAACTTGCTTATCATTGTACAGTATACACTGTGATAGAAATTGTACTAAAGTCCCTTGTAGAATAGTAAACGGAACAGGAATAAATAAATAATTAAACTTTTTAAAATCATCCGATCAGCAGCACAAAGATGCTAAAGAAAAACTAGTAAAAATTTGCCACTTACAAATGACGTTGAATTTATTTTCACGTTCGATTATCGACCGTTAAAATATACATTTTTGATAACTTCGTCTTTCAGACTTCGATAAATTACAGTGCAAGTTAGTACGTTACCGTAGTCGCTATTGGAAAGCCATCTCTAAAAGATTCATCCTATGTACAGTTTAACACATATCACTGACGCCTACAGTCCATTCCATATACGATTCCACGATTCCATAATAGTCCAACATGTTCCTTTACAATCGCTTTTTCTTTCAAATTTCAACGAATCATAGTCCAAACCATTATGTTACTCTGGCTACTATAAAAAAAGGAAAACCACGTTTCTACGAGATTAATACGTAGCATAGTCCAAGACATATCACCAAAACTTATAATTACATACGATTCCATGATAAGAGTAGTCCAACGTGTTCCTTTTCAACCGCTTCTTCTTTCAAATTTCAACGAATCACAGTCCAAACCATTATGTTACTCTGGCTACTATAAAAAATGGAAAACCAAGTTTCTACGAGATTAATACGTAGCATAGTCCAAGACATGTCACCAAAACTTATAGTTACATACGATTCCATGATAAGAGTAGTCCAACATGTTCCTTTACAATCGCTTTTTCCTTCAAGTTTCAACAAACCATATACGAAGTTATAGGTTACCGTAGTCATCGTGAAAAATTGGTCTCGATAAGTTTGATACGCAGACTCGACCGTGTACACGATACTGTAACTCCTCGAGTAAAACCAGGATGATAAAAAAGATTCCACGAGTAAAAGATCAAACGAAAGCCAGCATCAAAGAGTGGGAGAAAGAGGGACAGACACAAGTGGTGGTTCTCGGCGCGCAAGTTTCCCGCGCAAATCGCGCCCCTTCCCCTAAGCCTGGCGGTGAAATCTCGGCGAAAGCAGATCAGCCTGGCCAGTTGGACGTCGCGACGAACACGAGGTATCCGACAACGCCAGTGCACCCAGCGTTCCCGTCACGTGAATCGAACGCTCCGTTTCCGCTTCCTGTGTACGCGTAACGCGCCTCGATACGACATTCGATCGACCGATCAAGCGTGTTCGATCGATCCGCGTCACGTACAGTCGTCCTTGAAACTGTCCCTGCTGCTTTGGATCGCGCGAACGACGCAGTTTCCAATTGATTTTCAACCGCCTTCCAAGCAACCTCGCGGTCATTCCGTGATCAACGAGCCTGACGGGGACACGGTTGATCGTGCAGCGAAGCTCGCTAACGTTCACGTTGCGCGATGGTGTGATCTTTTTCTTACGGTGGTGTTTTGCTTGGGACGTGTGAAAGATGAAGATGGGGGATTTCGGGGATTTCGGGATTTGCCAAATGGCTTTCTAACGCGATCTTTTCGATTTTCGAGGTCGTGTTACGTCCTATTTATGGGATTTGATAACGCGAACTGGATCTTAGGTTTGAGGATTTTCTATCGTTTTTCTTTTTCTTTTTTCTTCTTCGTAACAAAGACGAGAATGATGTTCTATGACAGAATCGGGCATTGAGAGAGAGATTGATATTTAATTTGATTTTCAGTGAATTTGGAGTGTCATATTTATGGAGTTTGATAACGCGAACTGGATTTCAGTTGGCAGATTCTTCGTTCTTTCGTTTGTAGAAAGGACGAGAATGGTTTCGTAGATGAAAGTTAGCAATTAGCGGAGTAGATGAGATTGATTTTTCTTGCGGTTCTCGTGATTTCGAAGATCCTGCTGATGATATCTATGCATGATCGAAAAGATTCGGATAACGGAGATTGGATCTAGGTTATTCGAGAATCTGCAATCTTCTTTTTATAGGAAACGTGGGAATGATTTTGTGCATCAAGCTAAAAATACAAGTTTCTCATTTTTCGGATATTAGAAATTGCGTTATACTATTCACGCGAGTTTGATGACGTGGACTGGATTTTCGCTGTTTGAACAATTATTCGAAGAAATTTGATTTGATTTTTCTGCTTTTGAAGGTTGTATCACGGTATCTGTAGGAATAAATTTAGATTGTTCGAAGATCTGCAATTTTTCATACGAAGAACGAAGAGCGTGTTGTATTTTGCAACGCATCGTCGCGTTATTTCAGAACGTTCAAGTCGTTATTTATAAATTGAGCAGGCTATCTACAAATGTGCTATAGTTTATTTGGAATGATCTTTGGCGAACTATAATACCATTGACTACTTCAAAATTAGCCCAGGTTTTTTCGTATCAATGATCATCGACTATTACGTAATTAGGAAAAAATTGGTCAAGAAACGATTAGAAAATGAACATTCGTGACATTAATATCCTGCAGGATATTATGCTACTACAGACATGAGAAATTTGATCGTCTGATAATTACCAATTGGAAATCCCTATTTGTAGAGATTGATCAGTCAATCAATCATGATTGGAGATGCTCTGTTTGTACAGACCGAATAGCGTAGATGTGAACGTAATATCGTTGGATCGACATTTGACGAAATGCTACGTTTACCATTTTCAGAATTATCGAACGTATCCTAGGTCAGATCTCTTTCTGTATGTGAATCGATGAACACTGCAACGATGGAATTTGCTTTATATTCTCGCCAACCTGTACAATTAACACATTTGTTAATCATAATCTCTTTCCATCGGTAATATTTGGTAATTTAATATTTTCATCGATAAACGCGCCATTCAATTTACATCGAATTACTTCGATTTAATTCAAAGAGTTCAAATTTTTGGAAAATTTGTTCGAACGTACAAATGAGATATCCTTTGTTTCGCGCGTTTCCTGGTAACATAATATCATTGAAAATGTTCCAATATTTATCATCCGAAATTTCGTCGTTTATTCTCGCGTCCTATAGAATCGATAGTCGATTTCCACTCTAAATGTCTTTTATAGTTTCTACGTATGCTTTCAGATCTCTTGCAAACATTAGCAACGCTAACATAATGTTGGTGTTTCGTAACGGCGCTAAGAAATTTTCAAAACGCGGAACTATAACGCGCGTAATACGTTCGTAAATGTATACGAGAGTCGCGACACTTTCTCGAATCTCTGTATCTAATACATCGATAAAATTCAGGTCGTGCAGCGTATCTACGTAAATGTTGGAAATAAAATTTTCAGTGAGAGGATTGGCCAATACCTGTTGGAAACGAAACGGCCGTAGAACAGAGTAGAATATCGTTGCTGGAAAAACATATGCGGAACAATGGTCTAAATTCGAGGGAACGGCGGATTTTCGCAATAGCCAAACAGGTTTCATAAATATGCAACGAACGCGACCTGAAACAGCGTTGAATATTTATAATCATATGCGTGGCGTTCTTTCTTTCTTTCTCGTTCGAATGCTATCAAATATGCATTCGCTGCACGCGCATTAACATTCATATCTGTCGTTACATAAATCGAGAGAGAGAGAGAGAGAGAGAGAGAGAAAATAAAAGTAGCGCTGCGCGGAGTGAGAAAATGCAGCGAAAGGTTAAAAACATCGTTAAACGTACATAAATAATGAAAGGTATAACGCGCTGAGTTAAACTTTCGCAAAATTCACACATTATGCAGCATCGAGAGAGATCGAACGTGCAGTGGCTACAAGCAGAATTTTTATGCGCATAGTTAGTCTCCCATCAAGCGTTTTTCCTCTTATTTGTTCTGATTTTTATACAAATTTAACATTCAAGATACAAAGTCGCAATATCTGTTACATTTTTCTAATTTATTTAATTTATTACAATTGGATCGGACTAATTGGTGTGTAAATGAAATAATAACGATGTATAGTGTAATAATGATATCGTAAAGATACTATAATAGCATTCAGTGATATAAATGTTAATTTTTGTAGCCACTATATACGCAGAATCGAAAAATAACATCCGATTTCGATGGCTGAACATTGAAAGGTGATTCGCGTAAATTTCAAAGGTTTCAGGATTATTAAACAGAAATTTCGCAGAGTTTATGGGAATATGTGCTGTATTTTTGGAATTTCCGACACGATCTGCGTAATAAATGCTTTCGCAGATGGCACGGATTTAATATCAAAGCTCTTTCGAATTATTCTAACCTAGTTCTCAATTTTTCGTGTAAATTCCACTGATGCAATTTTTCTTTTTGCTTTTGGTTATTTTATTCTATGCTCTCGAATGAATTTTAGATTTTATGAACTTTTTCGTACCGCAATTTCGATGTTGTGGAAAGCTGTGACAAGGTTGCTGTTGAAATCGCTTGAATTTCGGCAAAATATCGTCGAGTTTCGTAAAATTGTACAAAGTTTTTCAAAAGTTAATCACGTCGTCTTTAAAACAGCGCACAAGTTGTTATAATTGCGCGCAGCTCTGAATATCTCGTTGAAATTGCGCAATATCTGACACAATTTCGTCAATTTTCGCACAAATCGAGGAAAACGAAGCGTGCGCGTGCGCGCAAACATTTGGCACGGTGCTGTAAAATTTTCTAGCTATTTCTGTGAATTTCTATAAATTTTTACAAAATTTTAAGAAGATCCTCAAAGTTCTAGAAAATTTGTAATTTTTATAAAACTCGACAAATTTCTGCAAAACATTCAGACATTTCATATCTTTACGAAATTCTACGGATTCCTATAAAATTTTAAGTAATTTCGCAAAATCCCGCCAACTTTTCTACTTCCATAAAATTCTAAGAATTTCGGCAAAATGTCCCGAAATTCTACGTAATTTCAGAAAGTCGTGGCAAGGTAATCAAACTTCAGGCAGATATTGCCAAATTCCGTGAAAATCTTCCACTATTTCATCCAGTTTCGTGCAATTACAGCCGACTTTTGCCTGACATTCCAAGAAGTCCACGAAAATTCTGTGTCATCTGCGTTAAAGCATTCCAACGGGCTCGATCTCGATTGATCGTCGGAACGCGGATACGAGTCCTGGTGCTTTATGGTCGCACGACTGGTTAGACCGGGTCGTCAATTGCGACCGAAATTAATCGACGGCCATGGAATCCGTGTACATCGGTGAAAATGTCGTAACGTAGCTGTCGACTGCATCAGGTTTGATACGTAGCGAAATTCGCTTGGCCACTCGGTATAATTACGCTTTGCGGCTCTTTCTCTGAGATTTCCTGCTTCGTGGATCAAATATAATTCGCGGCTAGTCCTTTCGAGCAAGAAATTCATTTTTCTTCGAAATTTCCGTAACTTTCGTGAGGATTTTTCATCCAGCAGCCTC